AGTATAACAGATGGTAGCTTCTTGTATTGCGATGCTCTTTTGGCCACATGTGATCTGGGGCTTGATTATCAACTGTAATCCCGCCTGATACAGATAACACTGAGGGAAACTTCTGGCTGAGTGTTTATGCAACTGGCTGTGTCTGGGACTGAGCTGAGTTCCCTCTTTCTGGGGTCAACTTCAGAGATTAGGCCTGTGGGGCAGGAGTCCTTTGTTGAGGTTCCAAGATAAGAACTCTGGGGACACACAGTGGTGGCCTGTGCTCCTGGCCCCGCCCTGGCATGTTCGGTGGTATTGGAGTCAGGCAAGCCTGGTTCAGGCTGGGGACCCCAGTCCAGGATGGTTGCTGGGAGGGGAGTGGCCTCCAGCCTTCTTTGAAGGGAGAGGGTTAGTCTACATGACATAAATTATAGATATTCCTCCTTCATCTCCACACAGGTGACCTCCCAGGAACAGAGCTGTTATTTCCATCCTGTCCATTCCTAGCCACTCCCTCCCTGGTGCCCAGCCTCACTTAGCGTCCTGGCAGGGAGACGGAGTAGCATCTGGAGGTTCAGCCTCTGATTTTGCATTAAACTGGCCGTGAGGTCATGGAAGGAGGAACCACACAAGCTGTGTGCATGGGAACTGCTCCCTGCTGTACAGCCCTCATGGGCTAGGTCTGCTCAGGAGGATGGCCGCAGACCCAGAGAGAAAAAGGTTTGAAGCTGACCAGCATCCCCATCTTCTCTGTGCCACCTGGATGCAGAGCACCGTGGACAGAGTAGCTTCCTGGAATTGGGATTTATGTCAAACTTGTATATAAGAGCACCTAGAAATGTTCCTTTCATAGTTAAAGACAAGCAGATTTAGGAAAGAAACTTGTCTAGAACACATTGTGACATGTCCATCATAGGAGGTCTGGGGGTACAGACTCAAGGAGGGCCTGTTGGACGGTTGCCCCCCAGCCCCCATCAGTACCATCTGTGAAACCCTGGATCTTCTTGTTTTTGTAACAAAGTAGACACTGATTATGCATGACTTTTTAATATTTGGGAGCTGAAAGTCTCAAAACATTAAAAAAGTGTTTTTAAAAAGTTTAAGGTGTGGGGCTTCCCTGGTGGTGCAGTGGTTGAGAGTCCGCCTGCCGATGCAGGGGACGCGGGTTCGTGCCCCGGTCCAGGAAGATCCCACATGCTGCGGAGCGGCTGGGCCCGTGAGCCATGGCTGCTGAGCCTGCGCGTCCGGAGCCTGTGCTCCGCAACGGGAGAGGCCACAACAGTGAGAGGCCCACGTACCACAAAAAAAAAAAAAAAGTTTAAAACATCAAGCAAATAGATGAACTAAACAAATTCTAAATAAAAAAGGGAAATTTACATGTGTAGGAATGTGTATCTTGTCTCTCCTTAACCTGACAGAACCAACTCCTGGCTCCTTTCAGTAGTTCCTGTACTGCTGTGTTGTCTACGTTTAAATATTCTACAGCATTTGTGCAATTTTGCTACTGATTAATTTCCTAAGAGCCTTACGGTCTGGAGTTCATCTGGTCTGCTGATTTCACGGTTCTTAGAGAAACAGTTTTTTCCTCATACTTCCACATCATGAGGGCCCTGCAAGGACAATCTCAACAGCCTTCTCCTCTGTAGTTTTGTCCCTGAGAGGAGAAGGGCATGATCTGTTTTGTCATTTCTCCAGGCCTGGCCGAGTGGTGGTGAGAGCTTGGAGTTGGATGGGCCAGGCCATTGTTTTAAAATTAATTTTTATTGGAGTAGAGTTGATTTACAATGTTGTGTTAGTTTCAGGTGTACAGCAAAGTGAATCAGCTATATATAGACATATATCCACTCTTTTTTAGATTCTTTTCCCATATAGGTCATTACAGAGTATTGAGTAGAGTTCCCTGTGCTGTACAGTAGGTTCTTATTAGTTATCTCTTTTATATGTAGTAGTGTGTATATGTCAATACCAATCTCCCAATTTATCCCTTCCCTGCCCCTCTCCCCCTTGGTAACCATAAGTTTGTTTTCTACAGCTGTGACTCTTTTTCTGTGTTATAAATAGGTTCATTTGTACCACTTTTTTAGATTCCACATATAAGTGATATCATATATTTTTGTCTTTCTCTGTCTGACTTACTTTACTCAGTATGACAATCTCTAAGTCCATCATGTTGCTGCAAATGGCATCATTTCATTCTTTTCTATGGCTGAGTAATATTCCATTTGTGTGTGTGTGTGTGTGTGTGTGTGTACCATGTCGTCTTTATCCATTCCTCCATTGATGGTTGCTTCTATGTCCTGGCTATTGTAAATAGTGCTGCAGTTAACACTGGGGTACATGCATCTTTTTGAATTTTGATTTTCTCCAGATATATGCCCAGGAGTGGGATTGCTGGATCATATGGTAGCTCTGTTTTTAGTTTTTTTTTTTTTTTTGTGGTATGCAGGCCTCTCACTGTTGTGGCCTCTCCCACTGCAGAGCACAGGCTCCAGACGTGCAG